ATTAGTCTTTGACATGCCATTTACTGGGGAGAAGGGCTGAGGGGCATGGGGGGGCCTAGTCTGGCACAGGCTGCGTCTGAGAGTCTGGGGGGCCAGCCGACGCTGTGCAGGAGTCAGGAGCCCTGTGGGTGCAGCTCAGCGGGAAGAAGGCCTGAGCACCCCTCTGGGAGTCAGGGGGCTGAGTCTGGGACCAGGGCTGCCATGGTCTCACCCTTCCCAATGCCCGGGCCCCCAGCACTTTTCCGAGCCGTCCATTTTCCTGTATGGACTGGAGTGCTTCGAGGGGAAGGAGATCGAGCTCAATGGCGAGGTGCGGAGTCTGCAGGCCGAGGGCTTCAACAACCACGTGCTGTCCGTGCGGATCCAGGGGGGCACGTGAGTGGGCTGCGGGGAGGCAGGGGGCTGGGGGCTGTTAGTAAGTGAGGGCTGGTTCCAGGCTTCTTCCCTGAGGGGACTCAGAGGGTGGGTCTCCCCCCCCCATCCCAGCCAGGAGGGAGGGAGGGAGGGGTGGACTGAGGAGGGTCACTGGTCCTCAGGCTTGGACCCCAGCCCAGTGGGGAAGCGGCTCTTCAGGACCCTCCTCTGCCCTGCGAACCTCAATCCTCTTCCCAGCCTGGGACCCCAACCCCAGGCGGAGGAGTCCCAGCAGGAGAGGAAGGGAGGTGGAGGAAGATCTGACATTCGTGCCTTCTTTTCCACCTTTCTGTCTGTCTGTCTGTCTGTCTCTGTGTGTGTGTGTCTGTCTGCCTGTCTCTGGTACTTGCTGGGCCCAGCTGGGTGCTGTGTGAACACAGCGACTTCCGGGGCCGCCAGTGGCTGGTGGGCAGCTGCGAGATCACGAACTGGCTGACGTACAGTGGGACTCAGCGGGTGGGCTCCCTCTACCCCATCAAGCAGGTGGGTACACGCCAGGCTGAGTGGGTCCATCTGGGGGTGTGTCTCTGTGTGTCTCCCAAACTCAGCATGTTGGTGCTTCTGTCACAATTTTCGCCTCATCGTCATTCCTTTTGAACCATAAGTTTATCCATGTAAGAGTAAAAATTATCTCATGTAGTAAGCACACCTCACTTTGGGCAACGCTGATTCCACATGTCTGGCCATGTGTCTGATTTCTTACCTGTGCATTAATGTGGAGGCATGGCCCTGGGATGTGTGTGTGTGTGTGTGTGTGTGTGGTATGTGTACATGCCGTCAGAGGGCATTTCTGTGTCTGGGCAGTCATTTGTGTCCTTGTTTCTGTGTCGGTGATCTGTGGTTTGTGTGTTTATGACTCCATGTGTCTGTGGCCTGTTGAGAGTGTGTGTGTGTTTGTGCGAGGGTATTGTGTGGTCCCTGCATTCACAGGCTCTTAGCACATCAGGGAGAAACCTCGGAGGTTTTCTCCAATGCCCGTATCATACAGCTAGGAAAGCAAGGCCTGAGAAGTGGACAGGGATTTGCTCTGCAATCTTGGGCAAGCTCTGTACTTCCATGGACCTCAGTTTCATCGTTAAAACAGGGTAACACATACGATGGGGCTGATTTGAGGAATGAAGAAAAATAATGTACGTAAAGTTCTTAGCACAGTGCTTGAGATTAGCTGCGATTCTCATTACTGTGACGGCCCTCACCAGTGTCCGAGGTCCCAGCCGGTAAGAGGCAGAGCCTGACCTGACACTGACAGTGCGGTGTCTGCCGCGCCACGGCCCCTCTTTGGCGTGAGGGTGGGGTGCACTTCTGAACACCTCCATGCACCCATCCTTTCAGCAGACATGGGTGCCGGGTGCGGAGGCGGCTGGGGGACCCTTGCACCCGTTAGGATGTGTGAGTTTGCGTGGCTCTGAGGATCTGTGTGTTTGTCTTTGCTGCAAACTTCTGTGCAACCACGTGGACCCTGGGTGCATCTGCCAGCGTGTCCCTCTGCACCCGTCTGTGGGTGTCTGTGGACATGGAACTGTATGGGTGTGGGCGTGTGCTCTGGATGGGGCTTTGGTGTTTGTGTGGGAAACAAGGGGCGACTTAAAGGAGGGCCAGGGGTGGTGTAGGGGCAGGAATGAGGGCTTTGGGGCTTGGGATGCTGGGGGGTCCAGAATTCTGGGTGTTGGGAGCCCAGGTGGGAGCATCTCTGCCCCAGGAGCCCTGACTCTCAGCTCCCTTCCCTCCCTAGCGCCGGGCTTATTTCCGCCTCTGGAACGTGGCCCTGGGGGGCTTCCTGGCAGTGCCAGACCACGTGGAAGACATGAAAGCGGGCCGTGTGGTGGTTTCTGAACCTGGAGCTGGAGGTAGCTGCGTCTGGTACTACGAAGATGGGCTGCTGAAGAACCAGGTACGGGTTTGGTGGCTGAGACAGGGACTCCAGGGCCCCGGGCATTCACAGGCTCACCGTGGGGAGTGCCGGCCCAGCCCGTAACAGGACCCACCCGTGGGTCAGAGAGACCCTCAGACACCAAGAGAGTCTGGAGAATGCAGGCTGTGCATCCACCCCTGGGCCATTTATACTCTCCTCTGGGCCTCGGTCCCTCATCTGCAAAACCGGGGCCTTGAACCACATGCTTCTGAGGGACTTCCCGGCTCTGAAATCCTGTGACTGAACTTGGGTCCTGGTAGTAATGGTAGATTCACTCCACAAACATCTCCTGAGCACTGTTGGCTGTTGTCATTTTTTATTTGACAGCCTGAGGGAAAAGAGGCCAGTGGCCCTGACTAAATAGTCAGGTACTGCACGTTTCAAAAATCCTTGCGACACAGCGGGTGAAAATGGCTGTAATAGAGAACCAGTAAGCGAGTAAAAGGAACAGGCAATGACAGTGGCTCTGACAAGGAGAGCCCGTTCTGGGCGACGACGTCTGAAGAGGCAGCCATGCAGGTCCCCAAGGGAAGGGTGTTCCTAGCAGAGGGAACTGTATGTGCAAAGGCCCTGAGGTAGGAGCATGCCCGGCATTTTCGAGGACTCCCAAGGCCACCAGAGGGACTGGAGTGAAGGGAGTGAGGAAGGAAGTAGCAGATGATGTCAGAAAGGTTATGGGAGTGAGGATCCTGACAGACTCTTAAAAGGGTTTGTCTTTGACTTAGAATGAAAGGGAACACTGGCTCTGTACCTGGTGCTATGCTAAGCCCTTCACATGCATCCCTCTTTAAAAAAAAAAAAAAAATATATATATATATATATATATATATATATATATATATATATAGATAGATAGATAGATAGATAGATATATTATTGATTTTTTTTTTACTGAGAGGAAGGGAGAGGGACAGAGAATTAGAAGCATCAATGACAGAGAGTCATCCATCAGCTGCCTCCTGCACAACCCCCCACTGGGGATGTGCCTGCAACCCAGGTACATGCCCTTGACCGGAATCGAACCTGGGACCCTTCAGTCCGCAGCCCGACACTCTATCCACTGAGCCAAACTGGTTAGGGCAACATGCTTCCCTCTTTAATCCTCAGAGGGTACTGTGGGCAGATTCCATCTGACTCTCCATTTAACGGTAGGAGAGCTGAGTACAGAGAATTTAGGTAAGTGGCTGAAAGTCACACAGCCCACCAGTGTGTCTGTCGAGGCTTGTCTGGTGCGAAGGCCTGTGTTTTGGGAGTCAGTCACGGGAGGTTTCCTGGAGGAACTCATAGTTTTCCAGCCCTTGTATGACTTCTCACCCTCACAACAACCCGCCCTCAGGGATTCCCATCTCCACGGAAACCAACGTTTAGGAGGAGTGAGAGATTTGCGCAGGACCACAGTACATAAGGATTTAGAGCTGGGTCTGTCAGGGGTGTCTTTCTTTGGGGGGCAGGGGTCCCTGTGGAGAGGAACAGTGCCTGATGCCCTCCTGGGGCCTCAGGTGGCCCCCACCATGAGCCTGCAGGTGATCGGCCCCCCCAGCCCGGGCTCCAAGGTGGTGCTGTGGGCCGAGAGCCGCCTGCCCCGCCAGACCTGGAGCATCAACGAACTGGGCCACATCTGCAGCCAGATGTTTGAGGGTCTGATCCTGGATGTGAAGGGTAAGGTGGGGGTGTGCGTGGGAGGAGGCACCTGAGGGCCGTGGAGTCCCCAGCTTGCTCTGACCATCTCTCTCCCCATCTCTCACTCCTCCCCAGGCGGCCGGGGCTACGACCGGGACCACGTGGTGCTGTGGGAGCCGACCAAGGACAGGGCTTCCCAGATCTGGACTGTTCATGTGCTCTGATACTCTCCCCCTCCCCCTCCCCCGGCCCCCCCCCACCTCCCCAGCTCTGGAGGCTTTCTCCGGGATGGAATGTTTTTATAAGTGTGTTGTTGTTGTTGTTGTGTAACATGAGTTGTTTTCTAATATCCTCCTGGGCGTCCTCCTCTCTGTGCACTTGGTATCTGCGAATGGGGTGAGGATACCATTCGCATGCCTTCATCTCCCTACATCCAGGCTGGCTTCTTCCCTCCCAGCTCATCTGGGGCTCGGGTGTATGGCCTCCCTCTGCCACCAGAGGGAGCCCTGGGTCCAGACTTACTAACTGGTGAGTGTAGTCTTTTCTGCAGTCACTCCAATGATTTAGCCCCCTCTGAGCCGGGTCTGGCACCGGGCTGTGAGGGACATACAGATGACCAAGCCCCTGGGCCCCACCCTCAGGGAACTCACAGGTCCAGGGGAGGGTTCTGATGACGAAATGTCAGGTCTCTGCAAGGTGATCCTAAGGGGAGGAGCCTCAGGATCAGGGAAGCTGGAGCTGGAGCTCCCTGGCACCACCCCCTGCTGAGGGGCGCATGCGTGACTCCTCCATGCTGTTGCAGACCTGGAGTTTGGGGGCCCCTGATGTCAGTGACCACACATAGGACCCAGCTCCAGGTACACGACAACTTTATTGACCCCCCAGCTGTGTGATGCTAACAGTACCTTTCTCTGTAGGCCTTTGCCCCCAAGCCAATTTCTGTCAATTTCCTCAACTGGTGACCTCTGGTATCAACCCCTCCCAAGGACTGGGGATGGGGAGTTTCTCTTGCCATGTCTCAGAGGACACAGGGCGAGGGCTGTGGCATGCCACCTCAGCTGAAGTGGAGGAGCTGGATGAGGGTGTTGGTCAAGAAGATGAGCACACTGCCCAGGCCGCTGAGTGCTGGGGCCCCGCCCTTGATTTCCTTGATGGTGTCCGTGATGGTAGTGGAGGAAATGGAGGACCTGGCGGAGGTGGCAAAGTTGGCAGAGTTGGCGGAGGTGGCGGATTGGATGGAGGTGGCAGATTTGGTGGTGGTAGTGGTGGCACGGGTGGTAGTTGCAGAACTGTTTTGCAAGATTCCACTCTGTATCTGCAAGAGAAGTGGGGCAAGCTCAGGGGGCTTTTGAATCTCACGTTTGTTTAGAGACAGAGATTCCCCTACTCAATGCAATAGTGGTCATTTCTCTGTCCCATGATCATGACGTCTGTCACCGGTTCCCATGGAGACAGTTGGCTGCTTACTGCCTGGACACAGTCCCTAGCCTGCCTCCCATAGAACCTTCCTGTCATCTCCAGACCCCCAGCTCCTCCAGCTGGCTTCTTCCCTCCCAGCTCATCTGGGGCTCGGGTGTAAGGCATTTCTCTACCACCAGAGGGAGCCCTAGGTCCAGACCTACTAACTGGAGAGTGTAGTTTTTTCTGCAGTCACTCCAATGATTTAGCCCCCCTGACCTTACCAGTTGGGCCAGAGGCTTAACCTATCTGAGCCTCAGTTTGCTCGTATTCTGAATGGGGACAAGAGCACATTACAGTGGAGGGGGTGCAGGGGAGGGGGGTGTCACATGGGAAGGCACCTGCCAAAGTGGGGGTGGGTGGATGGAAGGATGGGGAGAGTACAATTTCCTGCCCGAGGACGTGGCCAGATGGTGATCAAACTGTTCTCAATGCTTGATCAAGCTGCAGCTAAAGCTGCTCTCGATGGAGATGAAGCTGTTTTCGATGGTGCTCAAGCTGTTCTTGATGCTTGATCAAGCTGCTCTGGATCAAGAACTCGATGGCTCCCAGCTCTTACACTGACCAGAGCCCTCTGGGCACGGGAAGCTGCTAAAGCTGCCTCCTGGAAGAGCAGGGCTTTGAGACGTTGCCCATTTCCGGAGTGGGTATTTCTCCCTTCTCTACGTTCAGAACAGCTAGGCTTCTCTCCCTGGGGATTCCCCGCCACCTCCCAAAAGGATCAGGTTCCACAGGATCATTTCCTGGCCCCTTCCAATAAAACCATTGCCCCAGGTTCCTTGTGGGCTGATGCCTCCCTCACTCGGGGCTGTCTTCCTAGGCCTCTAAGTTCACCAGGACTCCACAGCGCCCCTCGGGTCACCCTGAGCATGCTCCCAGCCTCAGTGACAGGCTTCTGTTGGGGGCAGCCTCAGGAAGTCTGAACACAGCCAGAAGTGCTGGGAGGCAGGGAGCCAGAGCCCCCTTGGTCCTTGGTTTGCCCCCCTGAGCCTTTCCGCCGGGAGAAGACGGGGTGCCCAGGAGTCTGTGGACACCTGCTTCCTCCGACACAAGCAGGTCTGGGGAATCTTGGGCAGTGGTGCCAAGGGCTGGGTGCTGCTCTTACCTGGATCATAATCAGGAAGATGATGGTGACTAGGAGGAAGTAGAAGCCCTTCATCTTGGGAGGATCTTGGTAGCAGCTTTTGGAAATGAGCACAGGTCTGCCTGGTGCGCTGTTTTTGAACCAGAGAGGCGGGGTGAAAGGGAGGAAGGAGGGCCTAAGGGGGGGAAGGGGGATGTTGCTTCCTTTTTTTTTTTTTTTTTTCAGATTTCAGGGTTGAGGACACTGGCCCTAGATTCTAGGACCCTGGCTGACGATGCATTCTGGGTTGGGACCCAGACTCATCCCAAAGGATAGGAGGTGGACAAACAAGGGGCAGCTGTGGGGCAGTACGCAGGGGCTCCGGGCTTGGAGCAATGCCTACTGGGGATTGAACCCTAGTTTAATTACCTATCAACTCTGGAACCCTAGGCCAGAAACTGTACCTTTCTGAGCTTTTAGCAAAAGAACAGCCATAGGATTAAGTGCAATATAACCCATTTAAACGTGTGAACACATAGTAAATAGTATATACTTAAGAAAAAAATCCCTAGCCAGTTTGGCTCAATGGATAGAGCATCGGCCTGTGGACTGAAGGGTCCCGGGTTTGATTCTGGTCAAGGGCATGTACCTTGTTGCAGGCTCCTCCTCGGCCGGGCATGCAGAAGGCAACCAATTGATGTGTTTCTCTCACATTGATATTGCTCCCTGTCTTTCCCTCTCTCTAAAAAATCAATGGAAAAATGTCCTCATGACGTGAGGATTAAAAATAAAAAAAGATTGGGGCAGGGTTACAGGAGCTAAAAGAGAAGAGGTTGGGATAGATTTAGATTGAGAAGTAAGGTTGTATGTGGCTCCATAGGTGCAGAACATTAACATTTGGGACTGAGGGTGGGAGAGAAGAGTTGTGTGAAAACAAAGGAGCCCTGCATTAGTAACCTGGGAATCTAGCTTTCAGTGGGCCCATTTCCTTTCAGCCTCACATTTCTCATTTCAAATAGGAAGACGATAGTGAACATTTCAGAAGTTTCTTCAGACCTAGCATTTTGTGATTTGGGTAATGAATATAGCACATAGCCCAAACTGGTTTGGCTCAGTGGATAGAGCATTGGCCTGCGGACTGAAGGGTCCCAGGTTTGATTCTGGTCAAGGGCATGTACCTTGGTTGTGGGCACATCCCTAGTGGGGACTGTGCAGGAGGCAGCTGGTCGATATTTCTCTCTCATTGGTGTTTCTAACTTTCTATCCCTCTCCTTCCTCTCTGTAAAAAAAAAATAATTAAAAAAAATATATATATATAAATTTTTTTTTAAACAATATAGCACATGGGTTGTTTGTGTCAATCTAGGATGGATGGAAGGGGGGGCTAGCGGAGGGACCAGCAGGTAACTAAACTGACTTGTCCAACTGACTTGCCCAACGTAATAAATGGTAGAGCTAGTCTCATTTGAACTTGAACCCAGATCTCTTGAAGCTACACTCATGTATGTAACCTATGGGGCTGCTTAGATGTCTTGATTCTCTGTAAATTTCCATTCTGGAGGATCTAGATGTTGGCTCTGTATCCCAGTTCCAACCTCACCTTCTCTTAGTCTGTTTGGTGCCTAATTTGCATACCAATTCGTAAAAGAAAACCCCCTCTCACTTCCCTTTGGGCCTTCTGTTGCAAACCTCCAGTTGCAAGCCTTGGAGAAACTGAGTAGGACCTTAAGGGCATCTAGCCCTGGCTACAAAGAACTGAGAATCCACTGGTGAAAGGAAGTCAAGAAGTGCAGAGGGACTTTGGTTGCAGGCTCCTCCCATGCCCAGGCCCCAGTCAGGGCATGTGTTTCTCTTACATGGATGTTTCTCTCTGTCTTTCCCTCTCTTTTCCACTCTCCTTAAAAATCAATGATGGAGGGAGAAATCCAAGATGGCTGCTCGGGTAGGCACCTAGCCGCAGCCGCACGCAACAATTTCAATAAAATACAACTAAAATATAAAATGGACATTACCCAGAACTACAGGAAAGTCGACTGACTGGAAATTCTACAACAAGAAGCAAAGAGAAAACCAGAAGGAAGAACGGAGGAGCTGGAAAAGCCCAAGGTACGGAGACACACGGCGCGCAGAGAGGACGGAGCCTGAGAGGAGGGAGGCGGAGCGTTCCCTGGCGGGAAGGAGATAAAACTCCGACTGTGCTGGGCCCCCGACTGCTCTGAACCCCAGGCCTAGGCCAGCCCCCGGGGACCCAGGCTCACACAGAGGGAGCTGGGCTGAAAGGCGGAACCCGGGGAAGAGGCGAAAGGGGGTCCCGGCGGCGCAGAGAAGGGCCGGCCGGCTGTGCTGCGGAATTGCCTGGCGGGAAGGAGACAGGGGCTCCAGTCTGCTCTGAACACCACCTCCAACTCCACTTCCAACTGAACTGAACCCCAATACCAGGCTCATTGGGGGAGAGACTAGACTGTTTGGCAGCAGGCGAAAATCGAGGGCGCCTTTCTCTCAAGGCGCTTGCAAGGAGAACTGAAGGACCCTGAGTCTCAGGAGTCGCATAGGGCGGGGCTGACGGAAGCCAAGGCTGTAGGCTCCACCCTGAAACCTGCCCCATCAGGAAAGCTGCCTGCAAAAATGCCTAAACCAAACAGATCACAAACGAAAGAAATGGAGGACAAAAAGCGACTGGATATAGAGTTCAAAACCACACTTATAAGGTTTTTCAAGAGTTTCCTAGAAAAGGCCGATAAAATAAATGAGACTTATGAGGATATGAAAAGGGATCAACAATAAATAAAGAATACATTGTCTGAAATAAAAAATATTATACAGAGTTCTAAAAACAGAATAGAAGATCGCAAGAATCAAATCAAAGATTTGGAACATAAAGAGCCAGAAGACACTCCTCTGCAGAAGCTAGAAGGCAAGAGAATTCAGAAAATTGAAGATGATGTAAGAAACCTCTGGGACAACTTCAAATGATCCAACATCAGAATTATGGGGGTCCCAGAAGATGAGAGAGAGCAAGATATAGAAAATATACTGAAAGAAATAGTGACAGAAAACTTCCCCCACCTGGGGAAAGAATTGGACTTACAAGTCCAGGAAGCACATAGAACTCCAAATAAAAAGAATCCAAAGAGGACCACCCCAAGACAAATCATAATTAAGATTCCAAGAGCAAAAGACAAAGAGAGAATATTAAAAGCAGCAAGAACAAAGCAGGTAGTTACCTATAAAGGAGCACCTATATGATTGTCAGCTGATTTCTCAACAGAAACCATGCAGGCCAGACGGGAATGGCAAGAAATATTCAAGGTGATGAATAGTAAGAACCTACAGCCAAAGATAATCTATCCAGCAAAGCTATCACTCAGAATCGAAGGTCAGATAAAGAGCTTCACTAATAAAAAAAGCTAAAGGAGTTCACCACCACCAAACCAGAATTATATGAATTGCTGAAGGGGGTTCTTTCAGAAGAGAAAGTAAATAAAGATAAAAATTATGAACAACAAATATGTAACTATCAACAAGTGAATCTAAAAACCAAGGAAATTAAAAAAAAAATCTGTGGAACAATATTAACTGTTGAATATAATAGAATCAGAGGTATGGAAGGAGAGTGAACTGATGATTCTTGGGGAAAAGGGGAGAGGGGGATGTGGGAAGAGACTGAACATAAACTGTGCACCTATGGATGAGGACAATGGGAGGTGGGAGAGGGCAGAGGGTGGGGGTGGGAAGGGGGAGGAAGGAACATTTGTAATAATATGAACAATAAAAATTAAAAAAAATAAATTAAAAAATAAATAAATAAAATAAAAAAATCAATGATGGAGAAGAGTAAGGTTTCTGGAGGATCCAAGATGGCTGCACAGGTAAACACCTAGCCACAGCTGCACACAACAATTTCAATAAAATATAATACAACTAAAATATAAAATGGACATTGCCCAGAGCCACAGGGGGTCGAATGACTGAAAATTCTACAATGAGAAGGAAAGACAAAACCAGAAGGAAAATCAGAGGAGCTGCGGAAGCCTAAGGTATGGAGACATGCTGCGCAGGCGTGCCGAGAGGACGGAGCTGGAGGGGCGGGGAGGCTGAGTGGCTGGCTGGCGTTCCCTAGCGGGAAGGAGATAAAAGCTCTGGACTGTGCTGAACCCCAGACCCTACAGTGCTGAACCCCAGTTCTAGGCCAGACCCTGGAGACCCAGGCTCAAACAGAAGGAGCCTGGGCTGTGAGGCGGAATCCCAGGGGAGCGGTAAAAGGCAGAGCCCCCAGAGTCACACACATTGCGCGTAAATGACGGTCTGTTGACTCTGATGCTAGACTGCCCTAGCAGGAAGGAGACAAAAGCTCCAGACTGGGAAGAGCGTGTTGAGGAGCAGGAGCCGCTGCTGCCGCTGGGTGCCAGCAAGGAGCTGGGTGACAGGGCCCCTCGGGGGCAAGGTGCCACTGGGCCCTCGACTGCTGATCGCGCACCACGGAGCTGAGGCTGGAGGCTGCTTCCTTGGCGGCGCCGACCCCGGCAACAGGCTGAAGCTGCGCAGGAGGCCGCGGAAAACAAAGGGGCACCGCTGGCCAGCCTGCTGAGCTTCCAGGATGAGGAGGAAGAAACTGAAAAAGTTTTCAATGTGAAGAAATCAAGTTATAGCAAAAGATAGTACAATTATTATACTTAAGAAAGAAGATCTTGAAAAATTGAAGATTAAGACAGAACTCATCAGTCAACATTGCAACATAAATGAGTTTTTGTTTTTTTGTTTTTTTTTTAAAGGACAGAATGTTAGAGCGGCAACGGCCAGGCTCAGAGCAGCCAGGCCCAGAGCAGCCAGGCCCAGGGCAGTGGCAGCCAGGCCTGGGGCAGCGGCAGCCAGGCCAAGGGTGGCCAGGCCCGGAGGAGCCAGACCTGGAGCAGCCGGGCCCAGAACAGCCAGGTGGGGAGTAGCCAGGCCCGGAGCAGCAGCAGCCAGGCCCGGAGCGGCCAGGTGGGGAGCGGCCAGGCCCGGAGCGGCCGGATCCGGAGCATCCGGGCCCAGAGCAGCCGGGCCTGGAGCAGCCCGGACGGGAGCGGCCAGGACGGGAGCAGCAGCAGCCAAGC